TAAAAAATAATAAAGGTGAGAGATTATAGCATTACCTGTGAAATCCACCCCTTGTCAACAGCTCTACCCTATGCCACCAGGTACATATGTCACATGATGGTGTTTCTACAGGAGGCCCACACCTCTATCCTCATGAATAAATGAGTGTAGCTGGCCAGGCTCTGGGGTCACAGTTTATGCAGCAAAGGAAGAGCAACTAGTTTGCAAGCTCCCTGAGGAGTGTCTAATTAACCGCACGTTATTCTACTAAGGAAAGCTGAACTGCCACTGGATCCCGTGCTTCTTTTAATAAGCTCATGAGTCACTTTTCAGCTTTTGTTTTCCCGACAAGGAGGCTTTCTTCTGCTTTAAAACAAAGAATCCCAGCACTGGCATTTAAAAGCATACGTGTCCCATTTACAACACATATTATTTAAATGGTTATTTCCTTTGGCATTAAGTAAAAGTTGACAAAAACGTGGTGCCTGATTTCCTTTGCTGGTGAGCTAATGCATGTGGGGTCCCTGAGGTTTGTACATTCTCAACCCCTCCCAGCGGAGGCAGAATCTCTTCTGCCTTTGTAGTTAACCTAATTTCTTCAATTTTAGTAACCTGAACTTCCTGATGTTTCCTCCCAGATGCCAGTAAATGATGCTCATGCAGTGAGGGAGGAGACCCAGAGAGGGCTTGGAAGGACAACGTGACTTTGTTACCTTGTCCCCCAGGTAGGAAGAAGGTGCGACCCAGGATGCACTGTGAACGGTTGAGGGCAGCTCCTGGAGGTCTGCAACCATGCTGCTGCTGCCCGGGTTGAATGAGACGGGGATGTCCACTCCGTCTCCAGTCTCCAGGCGCCAGCCCATCATATCCACAAACTGAAACACAAGAGCAAGGGATGTGAAGGCGTGCTTGTGGCTTCTTCGGTATGGCTTAATTATGCAGACTAGAAAGAGCCGTTGGGGAAGCCACCTTGCTTCAAAGGCCTCCTGTCTGTGTCTCCTCTCGGCTTGCCCTCGGAATTCTCAGAGGGCAGAGACCGTATGTATGTGGAATTTATCTTTGTATTTCAGCACACATCCTGGTTCTTGACATTTAATAAGTGTCCAATAAATGTTAGAATAATACATCAATAAGTATAGGAATCATAACTAGGAGTGTGAGTGCATTTTAATGGCGAACTCCTTATAGAGAAAATGTGATGTGGAATACAGTGGCCTGCTATCATTATTTTTCTCTAAATGGAACATCGTAATTAAATATTTCCCTGATCACAAAGGAAGCCAGGAATTAAATTATGAGGGGAAGAAAAAGAAGAACCTGACAAGGTGTAGTTTAGGAATGATGCTTCCAGGTTCCCTGGAGGCAAGGAGAGGAGATTTCAAGGTGAATTTAAAAACTTTTTGTTTTTCCATTTACAAGCCTGTGCTCCTTTCAGGAGGCACACAGTAAATATATAAGATAATCTTTCTTTGAATACTTGTTGGACATAAGACATTACTCACACAAAGAAAGCAAGCATGAGACTCCTGGCTCATGAAGGCAACAAAAGTTTTAGTTTCATGGAGTTCATTTAAAAAGTGGCCCAAGAAAAGATGTGGGAAAATAGGTGAGAAGGAAAGTAAAACAGGAGGAACATAAGCAGATAAGCAAAAACAAGGGGGAAGTACTAAAAACTGCATTTATTTAATGAGTGTTTATTGAGCATCTACTATGTTCCAGAAGCTGTTGTAGGCACAGGGAATGTATAATATCAAGGGCTTACATGCTAGTAGTGGAGGAAGCCAGATAAGAAACAAATGTTAGAACTAAATGTATAATGTGTCAGGGAGGATAAGTGCTATTGAGTGCACTATACGAAGAAGGGTGAACACCTTGAGGGTGACCAGAACAAGCTGTGCTTGTAGGGAGTGGTGAAGGAAGGCCCCTCTGAGCATGAGATGCTTAAGCAGAGACCTGACAACCTGGGGGAGTGGGCATGAGGCCATCTATGGAAAGAATGCTGCAGGCTGAGGAATGGCGAGGGCAATACTTAACCTTTTAACAAAGCAACATACAAAAAAGTCCACAACGCTTCATGTTTCATGCCAATCCATTCTTTCCTCATTGGGAAGTATTAAGTAAAAATAAAAGGACTCTGATTCCTTGCATACCTTAGTTCTTCTTTTGTGTGTACTTTGACAATGATTATTTACTCCAAAACAAAAGCAGCTGGTGCAACCCTTGGGATTTGCTGGGTCCAAGTAGAACGAACCTTTCCGACACACATTACATTCTGCACCTTCCACGTTCTCCTATTTAAAAACATGAAACAGGAGATCATTCCTTCTAAAGGTTCTGTCATTGCAATTAGCAATTTGCACAGATTAAATACTTATATAAGATGTTAGAACGTGGGTGCTAACAAAACATTAAGACACACAGTTGTTAAGCTTTTATACTGCATTAATGGTTTAAACTTTTGTACCGCACACAATGGAAGAGAAAATTTCCTAAATTTTATCAGATTCTTCTTGTCATCTTGAAGATAGGAAATTAGCACCAGAAGGATTCACAATGTGGTGGGATCAATTCATCTCACTTATGACCAACCTCAAAACACCTGATAGGACTTGGGAGTTCTGCAACCACCTGGCAGAGCCTCTTGGGGTGGAGATTATTAATCTGGGGTCCATGGACCAGGAGTAGGCTTCTAGGGAAATTTTGAACCTCTTGAAATTGTAGACAAAGTTTGTGTTGATTTTTCTGGAGAGGGTCTGTACATGTCATCAGATTCTCAAGGTGGTCCCCTCCAAAGGATGAGATGGGTGAGAGGGACCTTCCCTTCTAACTATTTCTATCAAATGAAAATGACTATAAGATGCTACACACATTGTGGAAATCTGTTATGGGTCAGTCCCATTTCCCACACATTTTTATATGTTGACTCAACATGAAAAACTTGGCTGATGTCCCTGGGATTGCACGTTCTGTCTTACCTTGCAGAGGCAAGCCCCAGTCTGAGGGTCACAGACCCCTGGCTTAGTCCCATCTCTGTTGCAGTGGCAGGGAAGGCACTCAGGGAAGTGGTAAAACCCGGAAGCACATAGGTCACACTGCCGGCCTGTGATTCTGGGTTTGCATCTATATCCAAAGCAAATGGAGCAAAAGTTCTCATCATCTTTCTATGCGAAGATCTAAAGTCCACCGGCATTGCAGCAGAGTGGTTACTGTACAAAACTAGTTAAATACACACAGTGCCTGCCCACAGGGTGCTTACAGTCCAAGGCAGAATGGAGAGAAGCAGATAAAACGCACTTACATAAAGCAGGTCAAGATGACTATCATCTGGATGATGAAGGGGGTCAAAAGGTACAAATTCCAGTTACGAAATAAATAAGTCATAGGGATGTGATGTATACAACACGGTGACCATAATTGATAATACTATACTGCATATTAACAGAGAGTAAATCTTAAAAATTCTCATCACAAGGAAAAGCTTTGTAACTATGTGTGGTGATGAATGTTAACTAGACTTATTGTAGTGACCATTTCATAATATATACAAGTAGCGAATCATTATGCTGTACACCTGGAACTAATGTTATATGTCTATTACACCTCAATTAAAAACCAAAAGGACTGTTCCCAGATGATTCCTTATCTCTGGAGAGAGCAGCAAGCATACAGCACAATAACTCTGGTGGTCTAGAGATGGGAAATGAGACTACAGATAACCCCTCCCAAATGCAACGATCAGAAAGAGAAAACTTCCATCAGAAGAGGACCTTTAGCGATAACCTGATTTATACTGCATGGACTCCACTCCTCTCACCCGGCAGGGAGGAAAAGGATGCTATGCATGGACAGTGCTGTTGTTGTCACAAAGGACCAACCCAGCCTGGTGTCCTGAGGTCCAGGGTGTTTCTTTCAGCAAACATGCAGGGCTTCTGGCCCAGGGGAGCATTAAGTGGATGCTGGTGCCAAACAAGCAACCCACACATTGAACACCATTGGTGGACAAGGCTGTGAGTCGGCCCCTGTGCAAGTGACCTGGACCCGGGCCATGAAGGTGACGACAGGCAGACAGGGGGCTGTTTTTTAATGTTGTCACTTCATTGGAAAATAAAGAAACACGAGGATTTTGCAGGGAAGGCGGCTGTGGAAGCTGCTTGTTGAGACAAGGAAGGAGAGATAGAAGCAAAATCATGACTTGTCTGACTATTTATGTCAGAACATATGTGAGATGATGTGGTGGAATGGAGGGGTGGGCTGAGAGACTGTGATCATGTCAGTAAGATAAGATAAAGCTCTGAGCCTCACTCAGCACCTAAGGGGCAACCAGAGCATAAAAGTGAGTGAGAAAAAGCAAAATGCTTGGCAGACTGATGAGAGCAGTGGCCTGTGAGCTGAATCCTGAGAAAGCCAGTTCAGCCAGGTAGGCAAGGGTTAACCAACACGTGGGGAATATAACGTCTGGATTCCTGAGTAATGCAATGCTTCGAGCACTGAGCATAGGAATCCTGTGCATAAACAAGCAGCCAGAGTTTTGGGTGGTGCCATGACAACACAGAATCAAAAGGAAACTTCCTCTTCAAAGTCTGGCTGAAAATCTTTTAAAAACTACCTAAAGTCACGCTGACCTTGGCACATTTCTCCAGGGAAACACTCTGCTACCCAAGGGACTGCCCTCACTGCAAAGGCAAGAGGTTCCAGTAGATGCTGCCTGGACATGCAGAAAGGCGGCACTGGGGATGCAGGTCATGTGACATCATCTCCACGGCAACGTGCTCCCAGACAACTGTTATGTGACAACATCTGTGTGTGCGTGGGTGCTCTCTATGTCTCAGAGACCACCAGAAAATCAGGTGTTAGGGGAACTCTATCTTTTGCTCATTAAACACTACAGGTCCCTTAATATTACACTCAACATCAAACTCCAGTTTTAATCTAGAATCCAAAGCCTACCTGATTCATTCATTTAATTCAATAATTATTGAGAGCCTTCAACTAAAACATCCCTGTGTAGGAGACATGAGAGGGAGGGGACAAAGTAGAATAAATAGGTCGGTCTTGACCTTGGCATATTTTCACTGAGGACACAGGGCACAGAGATGCAGAAAGTTGAGTAATTATGTGAGAGATGGATGACTAGCATTAAACTTGCCTGAGGCAATGGGATGATGGGATATCTCTGTGGACTTGTAGAAGGCTTCATACCTTCTCTGAGTTTGCACTTTTAATATGTAATCCTTGAAGGATAAATACAATTTGGGGGTAACAGAAGAGGGGGAAGGAAGCCTTTTATAACTGGAGAACTGAACATATGCAAAAAGTATTTAGAGGAAGTGAGAAAACCAAGCCAGGGAAGAAAGCTGAAAAAAGGCCTAAATTAGGATAGATGGGGGGCCAGATTACCAGGGAAAGCTGGTCTTTATCCTTTCAGACAATGGGGATTTGAGGAAAATTCCTGTGCAAAGAGTGATGGGATGGAAGTGATGCTGAGCAGAGCCACATGCCCCCACAGCTGCTTGCATGCAATATGGCGCTCACCACACCGCATTGTCATTATCGGGTGGCATAGGTTCCCTTCCAGACTGTGGCCTAGGACAAGTCTTATTAGTAGGCATGTGTGCCTTCTGCACAAGGTACAGCACCTGAACTGGAGTAGGTGCTAGATACAAATTGAGCAAAAAAACATAGTGATATCTGACAAGTTAGAATTTAAGGCAAAAAGAAAACCACAAGGAACTGAGGGAAATGTATCATCATGGTTTAAAAAGACACATACCAAGAAGGTACAATCATACACATATATACATTTACCAGTATTGTCTCAAGTCTTATAGATTAATAGTTCTATGTAGTCATGACAAAATTATGGGGAAAATAAATTTCTAAATCCCAGTATAATATTGTATTTAACATATTCCTCTTTGAGTAAGGAGGGGAAGGGAGGGAAGGAGGGAGGGAAGGAGAGAGGAGAGAAGAAAGAAAGGAAGAAAGAAGAAGAGAAAGACAGAAGAGAAAGAAAGAAAGAAAGAAAGAAAGAAAGAAAGAAAGAAAGAAAGAAAGAAAAATTCAGAAGAAGATAGATCAGTTAGGTGAGCATCAATATTATTCAAACATGAAGTGAGCATCAATATTATTCAAACATGAAGTGGTGAAAGGACTTAACTAGGGGGCACCAGGTAGCAGAGAGCCGGAAATGAAGGATGATAACATATACATTGCCAGAAATTGACACCTGATTGACTGTAGGGAAAAGGCATTGATTCTAAGATATACTGGGATTTCAGGCTTTGCGGACTGGGAGGAGGCTGTCACTACTAAGTAGAAACTTTTTAAACATCCAAAGAGAGAAATGGCTTGAATGACAAGACGATGACATGGGTTTCAGATATGGGGTCAGAGTTGTAGAATTCTGGAGTTATAAGGGCCTTTAAAGATTATCTAAACTAACACTTCATCATACATGTGAGGAGACAGGAGCTCAAAGAATTTAGGGGACTTGTCCAAGGCCACCTCAGTAAAGCCCGTAAGAGAAGGCAGGTCGAACTGACTTGCAATGAAGGTGGGATAAGATAGCTATCAAGGATGAGGACTGGATGGGGAATCATGCAGGAGTGAGGGTATCTGAAGCCAGGAGAATGGGGGGGTTTCAGTGGACAAAGTAGGGGGAGGAAAGCAGACAGTCGAGTACCTGGCATAATACTAACAGCTAATACTTTTGGGTGCTAGTGTGTGTCAGGTACTGTTCTCAGGGTTTTTTGCTATCTCTATTTTACAGATGAAGAAATAAGACATGCTGATGTCACCCAGATAGTGAGTGACAGTGGCTCCAGGACACAACTGTGTGCAGACTCACACCACACATTCTAGCAGTCTGGGGAAGGAGGAAGCTGAACCAGCGAAATAGCCAGAGAAGGGTCATTCTGAGAGATAAGAGAAAGACGCTGTTGTTACAGAAGATGAAAGAAGACAGAGGGAATGCAGGTGAGAACTTTGCACTCATCCATGTGGCAGGAGCCCCATCCACCCTGCTTACCGCCGTCTCAGAGCCTGCACCCTGCCTGGAATTCACTATTCCTGTTATTCCATGAGGCGTGTCAAAGAATTTGCTTCTCCAAGTTGTTAGAACTTGCGGGCTTATGCCTAGCTGGAAGCACTTCTGTTCCAAGAATTGTCAAGTCTATGGCTTTTTCTGGTGTTTTGTTTCTCCATTTAACACAAACATTTAGTAAATCTATGAGGATTGGCTGAGATAGAGGTCACCCAAAAAGGCTTTCCTTTTGCTACCGCCCTTCTGAAAAGGTACATTTGTACATGTGGCTTCAATGGATATCGAGGTAGACTGCCATCTCCTTTAATAGATCTTAAAATAGCTTAAAAGTAGTTGACATGATAGTTTTTAAAAGCAGTGATTACCAATTTCCTTGTATCTGCCACTGATTGATAAAATCTGAGGCTATTCTAGCCTTTTTGTTTGTTCAAAGAATCTGATGGCATGCCTCCTCTTCCAGTATTAAAAGTAGATGCAAATGTACTTTTTCATTGCCATTATATATGGTTAAATTACTGTGCTGCTATAAAAATGAAGTTTGATCAATATAAGCATCTTCAACACCTCCTTCTACAGTGTTTGGCATATTTTCTGTGATACAATCAGAGATTGGAGAAGAAATAGAATCAGAATTTTAAATTTACGTGGGAAGTTGGAGATACCGTAATTTTACCAAACTTCATTTTATAGACCCAGGAAGACAAAATAACTTGTCCAGAGTCTACCAGCTACTTCATAACAAAGGTGAGTCTCAAGCTCAGTTTTATGGCTCCAACTCTATTTATTCCCAATTGTCTCTAAAATTACAATACCCATTTTGATTAAGTAAGGATGGAGTATTATGCATTGTTACAATTACTTTTGTAATTCATTTTAAATTAGATTTATATTTACAACTCAATATTTTTTTTAGGATGATTAACTTTAACACCTAAATACTCAAATAAAATTTGAAAATTCCAACTTCTTCATACTACTGGGCAGCTATATTCATTTCGTGTGGCTACTGTAAAAAATTACCGCAAACTGGGTGGCTTAAAACAATAGAAATGTATTCTTTCAAATGCTAAAAGTCCAA